CTGGCGGCCGGTCGCCGAAAGAGAACGAGGGGGATAGGTTCGCTGGGCGTTGGCTTTGTGTATATGCGTTGGCCGCGAACGTAGGCTTATAAACTTCGGCAGCAATAATATTATGCGGCTCTAGTGTTTCGGTACGAGCAACAGAGGTGACGCGATCTGCTACGACCAGCTACGACCACCCGCCGCAGCGATGCAGGCGTCGAAGGAGCGCAACCTGTGTACTACGCAGTCAGTCGCCGTCGCCCGACGCCGGTTGTTTGGCATTCAGGGCTTTCCGCCCCGGGTACCGCTTGTACTTGGAACCGAGTATTATTTCCTGTGCTTGTGTATATGCTCAGTGGCTGGATATGGACCTCATAGAGCAGTTCTTCAGAATCAACAGCGACTCAAAGTTGACGACGGCGAAAGGGCTTGCAGCAACGCTTTCGGTTGGTGCACGGCTGCGACGACTACACGGATAAATTTTAAGATTACTGCCAGCAAGGTGGGCCATAGTCGCTTTATGTTGACGCGATTTTGAGTGTAAGTACTCCGTGCAAAGCCGAATCTATCGCGTTTCTAATCTACCTTTGTTTTTGTTGTTTTTAGCTCGCACAACCGACTACCGAGCAAATGCTTCTGTACCGATCACGGAGTGAGTGTCTTCGGCCTTACATCGCGGAACGCCCAATAAAAAGTCATATTCGTTCAGCGAGAAAACTTCTCTTTCGAGTGACCTTCTGATTGATAATTTCTCCCGTACTTAAGTGCTTTAATCAACACGATCGATTAAGTTTCTTCCCTAGTTAGGACATTTTTGTGCCACATGCGGCACTAATGCTTGCCACGATGTATGCCACTGGTGGTATTGTGAATTGGTTTACTTCCAAAGCTAACAGTGTGACAGGTGGGACCATTCAATTTGCTATAAATGTGATAATATGGGAATTTCGTTGCATAACTAGCGTTTTACATTTAAGATTGATAAGAAACATGCTCATGTGATGATGCATGTCTACAGCATAAGCTTTGCAGATCCAGAATGGATGTGCTATATGCTACAGCCTCAAGATTTTTAATGGACCAAATTGGTGATTACACGGCAATAAATATTGTGGTAAAAAACTGGCCATTGACTCTGCGAGTTTTGATCGTGACCATTGGTGTGCTGTTGGCAAATTAGGTAATGGCACACCTTTTCCCTGACCATCTGGCTTCAAGGGACATTGCATCTAGATGTGCTTAAATACCTTTATTTCAAGGTTCAGTGGACCCCTCTGCATCATTACAGGAAGGCAGTCGCAAGCCACAACAAACAGCAGTGAATATACAATGCACAATAACAGGCACCAGTGCCCAGGCGTATAGTCCGCAGAAGTCAATTTGAGCCTAAAAATGTTTTTGTTTTGTTTAGATAGTTTGCATTTGGTGTATAATTCGCAGGGCCCAGTGCTTAGTCCGCCAAGCTGGTGCGTTGCGTCTTCGTGCTTTTTTTCCTGTGTGGCATTTTCTTCAGAAGTTCTTCGGCGAACGCTATTGACCCTGAAGAACTGCTCTTGAGGCCCATATCTAGCCAATGAGCACACACAAGCACAGAAAATAACACTCGGTGCCAAGTACAAACGAAGCACCTGGGCGGAAAGCCGTGAATGCCAAACAAGCAGCGTCGGGTGACGGCGACTGACTGCATTGCGCCCCTTCGACGCCTGCATCGCTGCGGTGTGTGGTCGTAGCTAGTCGTAGCGAGATGATCTTTATTTCAAGCAAAAAATCTTGCCATACCATAGTCAAGATATGTGTGCGAGTGTTCGACGACGTGGGCTCTCTCACGTTGGTGCAGTTATAAAGAAAGGTGCATATCAACAATGTTGCATGTTTGAGGCTGAAACTATGACGCATACTTATCAAAACCTAAATTTATCGGTCTGCGGCTACAAACATTTTCGTTGACGTTGCTTAGATGATGTAACCGTTTAGGCCTCGCATTAAATGGTGTTGCCACTCTTTGGTTGTGTATGAAAACCTATTTTTGCCCTAATAAAAGACAGTTTCAAAAGGACACGTGTCTTTTGGTGATACATATCTTCCAATTTACAATGCAGAGGCAAACAGAAAATCAACTGCGTACATCTACCACTTAGCACAAGCACCTTTGGCATTCATTCTTGAGCACACTCAAATATCAGCTTAGTTTGCTCTTGTTTTAGAAGCTTTGCCCTTTTCTGTAAAAAGAAAACAGGTAAAAAAGCTTTACCTTCGTTCTCCTTCTCGCATTTAATACAGACTTGTTTGTCAGCAGATATCACCGTGGCACATACAACTCGAATGACCGATGAGACTATTGCTATTACAATAAAGCTTTCCACAAGAGCCAAAATGAGGCTTGTAGGGGTGCACAAGCACATCGAAATGAGATTGGCGCTTCCGGGGCTTGTTTACATTATGCGTAAAAACAGGACGATCGGCGACCAGCTGATCGCAAGGTAACACCAAGGACACCGATGTTTCTATACATAGAACGCAGGATAAAGACCTCAATCGTCCCTTTTATGCTGTATAGTTGTCATAATTTCCATCCACCCGCTTTTTGGCACAGTTAACTAGAACAACCGAAGAGTTCGCAACACCTTTTAATGCGAGGCCTGAATGGTTACATCATCTAAGCAACGTCAACGAAAATGTTTGTAGCCGCAGACCGATAAGTTTAGTCTTAGATAAAGTATGCGTCATAGTTTCAACGCGCGAGATTGTTGATATGTACCTTTCTTTGAACCCGCGTACATTCGGTTCAACTTGATGACAGCAGCACCAGCGTGAGAGCTCACGTCGAACACTTGCACACATATCTTGACTATGGCAAGATTTCTTGCCTTAGACTGGCTTGAACACCTCATCTGTAGCATCACGGTAGGTCTTGGTTGAAACGATGATCGTCTCGCACACGGCAACAAACAGAGAACGACATGCTTTGTTTTATTTATACGCTACCGGTGTACGGGTGTCGCAAATCTATCCCCCTCTTGTCCGCCATGTTGGATCGATCGGAGCGCCCCCTATATTCGCTGAAACTCCTCAATAAGAACTCGTACGAAGTCCAACCCCCGATCCCCGAAGCCCACTCGCGTGGATCAAGTTTCGTTCACAGAGACAAGAACTCGCGCAAAGTCCAACCGCCGACCCCCGAAGCCCGCTCACACGGATCAAGTTTCGTTCACAAAGAAGCTACCAGACACTCTCAGCCTACAGCACAGCGTGCACCTCGCTCTCCCGTTCTATTAAGAATTAAATAAACGCATTTACCCGGAGTACGTGAAATTAGGCCTAACCACTTTTACGATTTCACTGTCCAAAAGCGGACCACAGACGACCTTGTTTGTTGACATCAATGCATTCATAGGCGAAGAATGTCCGGGACTCGGCAGTTCCTCGACCCAAGCTTCGTCAAGTGTTCACGACACTCGGTTTCACGGTTGATCACTTCCGTAACTACGGCAACTACGCACTTGCAGCCATTACGAGAGCGAGGGTGGCTTGGCTTGGCTTGACTTGGCCTCACCACTTGGCGGCAAATAAAAACTGGCTTGGCGGCTTGCTAAATTGGACGCAATTCGAGACTCACGGATCCGAAAATTCAAGGTGCATTGATTACGGGAGGGGAAAAAAAAAGTCAAAATATTGACACTTGTTGTGGGGGGTGCGTTTAATTATGCGAGTAAATACGGTAGATGCTGAGAACTGGGGATGTGCGAAAGGCACCTGTCAAGAGTTGCAATCCAAGACGGTGCGCACTGGACCTAACAATTTAAAAGCTGGCGGTCTCGCTGATCCATATAACAAGGCACTGTAATCGAGGCAGGATTGCACGAGCGCATTGCATAGCTGCAACAGATATCTCCTGTCCGATCCCCAAGACTCGTGTGCTAGAACGTTTAAAACATTCCTACTTTTCAGACACTTTTCTTTAAAACGGAGCGTGAAAAGATTGAAGGTCTAGACTAAGGGGCAAACCTCGGCACAGAAAAAAAGGCACACAGAGGGTTTTTCCTGGGGAGAACTTAAAACCATTCTTGTCTGCTCAAGAACCTATCGTAAAATACCAAGCAAGCGCCCACTCAAAAATTGAAAATAATCGCGAAAAAGTAGGGGATGGGTGCATGTGACGTCATCAATTTTACACATGTATGTACCGTGCATATTTTTTCGGATGTTTCAAATTTTGGGGGTGGGCGCTTAGTGCAGAATGAGTGGAAGCACGGTATTCTATGGTAGTTTGTTTAGGGCTAATTGAAGCTGACGTTCACAGCTGGAAATGTTACAGAAAAAGAGGGAAATCTGAATATCACCAACATGAAGAGAGCATGTGATAAATGGCGGTAATATATTCGCGACAGAGTTTATCTTGATGCCAAATAGGGTAACACTTAAGATGGCCCACGTAGGAAGCTGCACTGCACTCGATGAATCTAAAAGCTCGTCCTTGGACCAAGCAGCGAACCAACCTGCAAGACATTTCCAGCTCTCAACTTACCTGTTCTTGGGGAATGGAGCGTCGACATTTGGGACTCATACATTGCCAGAACTGTCAACCTAATGACTGGTGCAGACATTTGTCACGGCACTAAATCGACGCTAGGGATGCTGACTCGAATGTAACTTAGTCCTAGTGCAGCGTTGCATCGGCGCTGTTTCACTAATACAGCGTGAAGTCGGCGCCGCGTCGGCAAGTTCGGTGATGATTTGCAGCGCCGATTAACAGTGTTGTGGAGGTACTGCGGTGAATGTGTGAACGAGCCTTTAGAGCACCAAGGAGGCGGGTGCCCGAGTCACCAGAAAGTGCTAGGCAAATGTCTGTCAAAATTATCACAAATACGCAGAGAAAGTGCCTGCTCTCGACAGGGAGACCAAAAAGTGGCACGTCTTCTGGAAACGAAGTTGAAATTCCAAAACGAGCGTCACAAACACTCAAAGAAAAAAACCTTGCTCCATCAGGAAACTTCGTCCGGAGAGCATAGGGCACTCACCAGGGGGCAAAGAACTTGACGAAGGTCACGCCTTGAGCCACCACACCTTCGAAGTTGGATGCCGACAGCTCCATCACTGGGGGTGGCTGCAACACACGTTCCAAGGAAAAAGAAAATACAATTTTATTATTACCGCAAAAGCTCATAGACTCGAATTTCAAGGGGGCACTAAAATAGTACAAATTAATGTGCAATTTATAAAACATTCATTTATGCGTTTCTTTAAAAACTAACTGGGGTGGGGGCATGTTTATACAACCTGAACTTCGCCTGCCTCAACGAGCAACTTGTCTCTTCAGCCGTAGATGAGAAACTCAGCCAGTGCAGTACAACCCCTAGCCTGGGGTCTTTAACGTGCACCACGCAGTAGGGATACACAACCGCACGCCGGTACGATGCTCATACAGGTCTAAACGGGCAGGGGTGGGGATGGAGCCCAGGATGCCTGGGTTCTGCAGTGTGAGCTTTCGCTCCACGTGCTCCGAGCTGCTGTGTGCTATACTCGCGGTCAACGTCCTGTGGCAATCCGAAGAGAGGAGGAAAGCGCGTGTATGGCGGTTGGTGCACCCTCTCCCCTAGCATTGACTGCAACCCCCTTAGCTTAAAAAATATCAAAGAAGGAATGCGCTTATTTCGAAGCTCTTAAAATACAATACGTTCAGTACTGGCGAGTAACTAGTAGCTCCACCCGTCAGCATTAGGGAATAGTTTCTGGCACTTTTAAATGCCAGTTCAGGTATGAGAGCAATTAGCTATGACAATCAAATTTTCGGGTTTTCTCAATATCATCCTAAGTGGACAGCTACGTGTCGGCGGCAGGGCCAATTTGCACGCAAATTAACTTTCTTTATACAGGAACCTTCATGAAGCGTGGTTGGACTATGGCAGCTGGTTCGAAGCATCCTAAAAATCAAACTGATGAAGGGCGAATTAACGAGCTTCTTCCGTAATCCCGAAAAATCTCCAGAGAAAGAGTCCGTGCATTGTGGATTCTCATCAATCGAGTCAACCACCAAGGTACATTTTCACCGCCTAAAAGTCGTACGACTGGGAGGTTAAGCCGATCCGATGCTCTCTAGCGCACTTCCTCGAGACCGTTCGCACATTCCCGTCCAAGTTTGACCGACCGGTGGCCTACCGGCGCCACCCGTCGGGTATCCCTGGAAATGCGTAGAACTAGAGGGAGGGTTTTGCAATATTTGTGAGATCAAAACTGCACCCTATACATGAGAACACTTGTACCACTGTCAGAATTACTTTCAGCCCACAGAAAAAAGAAGGACGGCATATATGCGCAGATCCAAGTTGCGATAGACGGTGCCAGTGCGTTCTCTCATCACGAGCGTCAACAGTTTTGACTCCCCAATCGAATACGCCCACAAAAAGCCCCCGCGACGGTGCACGGGCAGAATACGGAGTGCACCAATTTGAGGAAGGCCCGCCCGGCTTTGTGCCCGTGGAGTGGCTCGTCAGCCGCCCCACGTGCGCCGTCGTCTAGAATCTTTGGACTTAGTCTCGAGAAATAACTTTGCGTCCTTTCTTTTTCGTAAAATTATCGTTTATAACTCGTCGTAGCGCCGCAAACTTTTTCGCTGCCTTCGTACCTTTCGTCTCGCTTTAATCGTAGGTTGCCATTCCTTACTGTGGCACAGATATGCTTTTCGACTCCTCCCTATCTAAGAGCAGCTCGGAGTGCAATCGCCTTCCCCCCTCCCCGCCATCGCCTCCGTCAAAGACTTCGCATCCATCGAGACAGCCGTAACCGAACACCTTTCTAATCCCTCTATTTTTCTAATTTGTTTTATTTTTTCCGTTCGAACTGTGCTTTCGTAATGCGTGTTACGACACCTCGTACCCACTCGATCGCGATGCTCCCCGGGCCCTGAGGGTATCGAAGCAAATTTATAAATAAATTATAAGTAAGGTTTTGGGCTTCGGTATATGGTACCCATCGACCCCAAAAATTAACCCAACCCCCCCCCCCCCCCCAAGCCCGTTTTGTCCAAATTCAGGGAAAAACCGAAGAACATTGAAGTGAAGTCATCCTCCAATAAAAAAAAAAAAGACTCCAGATATGTTTAGCTACAGTTATCTTCCTTGGATCTAAAGCCCAAGTGCCACTGTCCACAAGGACGCTCCTTTCTTCAACAACCCCACGTTCCCTTCCCTTATAGAAACCAAAATGTTTTCGAGTATTGGAGTAACGCGCACATTCCCAGAAGCTGGGGAAATCTCACGGCCGTGGTCTTTTTTCTGCCGCAGAAGTCCCAATAAACACCGGTTCTCCACAACACCTAAAATTGACACCGAATCTCCGAGAACTGCTCCAAACTCCGAGGAAAATAAACCCCCAAAATGCGGGACCATTATTACATATTATATAATTAGGGTCCCCAATTAGGGTTATGTTGGTCGTAGTTTATTACGAATAGTCCCAATTAGGACTACGTTGGTCATACAGTTTATTATGTATACAGGAGGCTTTTAGAGCGATGCAATCACCCTACTTTGAGTTCAAGAAGGTGCATGCGAGATGTAATTTTTTTGTACAAACGCCTTCGCAAATTACTCTATTGCCCCAATCTCACGTCATCTATTCATGTTTGTGTTGCGACACTAGTTCTGCGAGTTTCTCCTACTTTCTTCGTGAAGGAAATCATCTCAGTTAGCCCCGTGACCCGCATACAACGCTCGTATAACGCTCTCAGTGCAGCGAATATCCTGGCGTTTGTGCATCCTCATTGAGGCATCAGCTGCTCATAAGCACAGAAAACAAGGAATCAGCCCCTTGTGTGCTCGCAGTGGACCAAGCCGTTGCGCGGGGGAGGGTGCCACTCACGGCCTCCTGCTGAGTCTCCTGCTGCCCTTCCTGGGAGCCCTCCTGGGGAGTCGGGGTCCCCCGCTGCGTCATGCGGCTCACAAACTCCTTGAGCTCCTCGTGGGAACGACCACCCTGGTACTTCTCCACCTGCAAGTGCAGACAAGAAAGACAGCGCACAAACTGAGCCACCGTCCTCGGGCAAAAAACGGTCAAGAAATTTCGGCAGTTTCTGCCCTAGTAAAGTTTGTTGCTGCAGGTGACGCCCATTCATGTATAAAAGTAAGAAAATATAAAAACCAAAAATTTTTAATTCACAAAAATAAAATTTTGACAACTCGCAATAATTTTTCTTTAAGTAAACATGCCACCCCGCACGTGGCGTTTCAATCACTCCCCCCGAAATAATATCGCCCCCAGGTCTCGGGTATAGAATGCGTTTTCAATCGTCCATCTTTTTGACGGGTTTATGGAGTTTTATACAAATAAAAAGTAGATGCGTCCAGCAACTTCCTTTACGGTGGCTTATCAGAACCCGCGTCTATCCGTTAGGCTCTCCAAGGTATCCGATTGGTTGACTCTTAACGTTGGCATCGCGACTCTGGTGCGTCAATCTGTCCCTAGGAAAAACTTCCCCGTAGCCCAACAACAATATTCTGAACCAGGTAATCTAAGGGCCGCGCCTGTGCCAAATAATACATGCTGCGTTAAAAACTGGAACGGAGGCTGCATTCCAAATCTTGCTCGACCAGATCCAAGTCACTCCTGCGAGTCCCGTCGCATTGTAACGCGGGCAGAGAGACGCCGCATGCAAGCGGGTCTTCCGACGCCAAGGCACAAAACCTTTAGTCTGGAGCGAGGTCGAACAAACGTGGAAACAATGCCGGGGGAAAATCTGACAAATGCGGGGTGCGGGAGAGTGCGCCGTGGCCCAGTTTCCTTGCCCCGGTGCAGTACTCTGCATCCGGTAAATGCAAATTTTCTATGTGCCCTCGCTTACTGCATCACATTTCGCCATTATGCGCTAGTAAACACTAATCTGCTTCCGAGAGTGCCAGTATTTAAATAAAACTATAGACAAATTATATCGGGTCCAAAACCAACCTTGAAGGTTCTGTACCCACCAGAAGACGTAATGGACTTCTCAGAAATCCTTCGTCCGACTGCCAGGTTACCCTTGCGTGAATCGGTCAAAGGGAAGAAGAATGTATGCCGCCCTTTTCTGGGTATCGCCCACAAATGGTAATGACACAAACCTAACGGTAGCCCCCGTGAGCACACTCAACAAGTTCCGACGACTGCAGTTCCGACTTGAAAGAGAAAGGAGGAAACCGCCGACGGAGGCAGGCCCCGCACGACTCACCAGCTTTCCCTGCTCAATCCAGAGCAGAGTCGGGTAGGCCTTCACTTCAAACTCGTTGCAGACGAGGCGGTTGGCAGTGCAGTCGACCTGGCCCCCGGGGAGAGGAAGTGGAGAGTCAGCTACGCTAGCTCTTCGCGCGCGAGACAAACATACTGGCCGGATGTTGCTCAACATCCTCTACAGCCTACGGCACGTTGAAGAGATGCGTGTACCTGGGCCCGCTACAATTTCCCGCTGTTCGACGGAAAATAAAGAGCAACGATCAGTTGAGAGCAGCCACATTGATATTCGATGAGTAAGGCGAGCTAAAGCACACCTCAAAATGGACGAGCACACGATTCAGCGACTCGAAATGGAAAGATGTTGCGCTGCTTAGGCTCGTCTCATAGTACGAGCATACTTATGCTCGTCAACGCTTTGCTTTCAGTCACTTTCCCTCACATTGCGGCCGTCTTTCTAGGGCAGAGAATGAATGCACACCGAGCAGACCTGTACCGCATGCAGTACAGCAAATCAGGTAACCAGAAATTCATCACTTTTGCGAGCGATTTCCTCATTGTTTCATCATGTTATTGCTGTATCCACCGGCTGAAGCCCACATCCGCCAAAAAAAAAAAGAGCACTTGGCTCGACATACAAGAAGTCATGCCAAAAACCTTTCTTGTCGCCAAAAACTTTTTTTTTGGGGGGGGGGGTAGCAGGTTTTAGGACCCTCCCTCTGGCTACAGGCCTGGCTTAATGCTTCTATGGTGTGAACACAACACCGTGGAAGGAACGGTCGCAGAAGGAAAGCCCCCAACCTTTTGGGGTTTTGTGAACAGCCCATATTATAGACTAAAATAGTGCAAAGCATAAATGTCTCCTAAAAATAACCGTAAAGTAACTCCCAACATCAATAACTATGGCATTGTCGAGATTATATAGCGCACAAAGAAGCACTAATTTGGCTACCTTGTCACTATAACCCTATATTACCCATATATCATACCTTTTTTACAGTTACAACGTTGGTATCAAAATTGCTACCCAACGATAATGTCACGACAAGCAAGCCATAAACTTGCCTCGTGCCCCGCAACAATAGCTGCACGTTTTTGCTAAATAAATCATCAAATTTACAACAAATCCTGCTCAATTTCAGCGCAAGAGCTGAATTCAAAGTACATAAGACAATCCAAAGCCACTTCAAACTCGGTCGTTTTGAAAAGTGCTTCAGTTTCGCTTTAAGGAAAGCCTCTACTATCTGGGACTGAACAGGCTTGATCTGCACCACTGGCCAATGACAACTCCATTTGCGGGGAATCTATATGCCGGCTGGACGCGATAAGTAACAAAGAAGGAAAGGATGACGCGAGACGCATGATGGCCAAACGCCCTCTGGTTTCACCACCACCTCCGAGCTGAAATCTCAACCAAAAAGCGAGTGGCCACAACGCGTTATTTCCTTAAATTAATGTACGCCACGGAGATGCGATCAATTCTCAATAATTTAAAACCCACGGGGACAGTGAAATGCTTCGAATGAAGCGTACCGAATTTCAAAAATGCACTCAAACTATTTGCTTTTAGTACTCACCGGGCAAAGATTTTTGCTCGCCCCTACAAACGAAGATGCGCAGTATCTTCGTTTGGAGGGACGAGTGTGTAGTGGCGTGGTTGCGGGAGTGATCAACCGTGAACCGAGCGGCGCGCACACTTGACAAAGCTTGGGTCGAGGAGTTGCCCAGCCCCAGAAATTCTTCGCCTATTGAATGCAATGATGTCAACAAAGACACCGTCGTCTGTGGTCCGCTTTTGGACAGTGAAAGCGTGAAAGTGGTTAGGCCTGAGAACGGTCGAATCGCTCTCTGTGCCGAGTGAGCTTCGTAGGGTGCTTTTTCTTCGACAAAAGGCAGGCTGAAAGTGCCCTAAAAATGTTTGCAATTTATAGAGCATGGTTCCTGTGGCACGTCCCCAACCAGCCGTGGGTGCGCCTCCATCGGTGCAGACGTGTCACAGTATCTTGCTGTGTCGTATTGGCACCTAATATGACATTTGTGCGCAGTGTGTAAATGCAAAAATTTTACCCCGTGTAATGAACGCAGCCCCCAAATATCTGTCCATTTTTCGGGAAAAAAAGTGGATTCAATATGCTAGTAAATATGGTATTACCATGTTTCCGCTCCTTCACGGTATGAAAAGGAATTTTTAAAATGAATTTGCCGTGGGAAAGAAGCTACTTTAGAAAGTGAGGGACAGGAAACAGCTAGGTCTACTTCTCAAAATAAATGTAATGGCGGGCAATGTCACAATTTGAAGAGCCACGCACACAAAAATGGCTCAAGCCTATGCCTTTCTGGGTCACCGGGAGTTCTTCAAATGCATGTTTGACCAATTTTGCAATCATATTCGGTACTTATTAAAAAAAAATAAAAAATACAAATTATTTATTTTTCTTTTTTTTTTTCTTTGTGAACACAGAGGCATTTGGCAAGGTATTTATGACTGTTAAGGCTTTTATTCGTCCATGACTTAGGAAAGCCCAGCTGAAAAAACAAAAATTGCAGAGTACCGGAAGCACATGTGCTGCATAATTCTCAACATGGAATGGTATTGCCACGCACTCGTCGGCGAGCAAGCGCGCACGTGGCCGAGTGGTTACCGCACTTGACTTTCGCACGGTAGGTGTAGGTTCGATTCCAGTCAGCGGACTCTCCTTTTATTTATTCTTTCAATTTGGCCTTCTCGTAAGTTTGAGAACATTCTCGTTTGATCTAGTTCCGAATATTCTACGGACCGAAAGTTCTACGCCGAATGATCCAGAAACCCACGAGGGCACATAAGGGACTCCGCAAGGAGAGCGGAGTCAGTCTCGCCCCAGCGTTCGACTCTGCTGTTACGCCGACTTCAACGCCCGCGACGCTCTGTTATTATCTTTTTTACCCTTTTATTTTTGGCACAAGTTCGCCACATTAAACATTCATTTCTTCCTGTTTATTTATTGTTTTTTGGTCACCACCCGTGACAGTATCACAAGAGTCGCGGGCTGGGTGGCCGGTCGAACCCGACTAAGCGATGGTGGCAAACGACGGGCGTGGGACCCCTACTTCAGAACTGTCGTTCGCAGTACCGGCAAATCTGTCTTTAAATTTTTATTTAAAGTTAAAATAAAAAGAAAAATATCCGTCGGTAAAAAAGATTTATTTTTTACCGATCAAAGCAGTTATCATAATATCCCGAGTCATCGCCCACCCCACTTTTTTGGCAAATATTGATTTCCAAAAAAAAAACACACAGTGGTCGCCCATCCCTACAAATACCGCAACGTGGACTCCGCCATCTGTAAACATTCATCCTTCCCGAATGACGCGGCCGCAAACCTTTTGGTTGGACGACATTTGTGACCCAAAAAAATACGAAGGAGGGAAAGACACTTCTCTTAGTTTATGCATTTCCTCCCCGATTTCTACGACCACGAAGTTGTAGTACTACGTACGTGCAAAAGGAAAAAGATAGAGATAACAGCATAAAACTGCTTTGCTTACAAAGTTTGTCTAGACAAACAAAGTCGGAAAGATAACACAAGCTGTAACCCATTCAAAGATCGCAAGATCAGCAATGTTCCATATCTCGAAAGTAACCGTGGAATGCAAGGTAAAAAATGTACGGTCAAAGTTTGTCTCCACCGAAAGAAAGTCACCACGAACCTGCCCCTTGTCCCAGAATGTCACGACCACGGTTAGTAAAATTGTGCAATGTTTGAGACAAAGCCAACGGGAAAATAAATATTTGCTGGAATGCGACACAGAAACGTTTGTAGAGCATCCCATTTCGAGCTCCACATTCGCGGTGCCGTCCACGCCATGCAGCAACGCCGCCTCAACCCGCGTTGGTAGCACTCCGTGCACGGAGGCACTCATACACACACCAAACAAGAAAGCTGCACGGAAGTCTGATCCTCGAGATTGACGAGGCACCCGACTTGGTCCGACGCCAAAGTGTATGCCAACGCAATCGCTGGCTTTCCCGCTTCCCCGGCACCGCTCTTCGTAGCTTCTTTTGTTTGCTCGCTCGCTCGTTGCACCTGGTTAATTTTTCTATTTTCTTCACAAATTTTTTTTTTATTAAGAAGACAACGAGGCGGTGTTAGAAATGCGCTTTCACAGAACAAACGTTCGCGCTGTATGCCGACTGGCAGTGTTCATTTCCTGTATGCAAGCAACGGACTTAGCGATAGTGAAACATTCTTTTAAAAGCATTTCTGGCATAAAATAATAAAACTAATTCGAGTTTTCAGTTTAATGTGTCTCTTGTGCAGCCACGCTAGATACATACAAAAGAAATGGGTGTTTTTTTAGCTTTTTCCTAAGTTTTTGTGTTTTCTCACCGAGACCATGGCCCACCCCCCTTTTTTTATTAATTTCAGGCAGTAGAAGGTGGGCGATGACTCAGGAATATTACGGTAAGATTCATTCCGTACAACACGTCCGACCTCCAAGCTGATTTGCACGAAGACGTTGCCAAGTCGTTGCCCCTTCTCCTGGCTCAAGACACCGCTCGTATTACGAACACAAATTGGTAAGAGCCCGAAACACGCGCAATCGTCAAGCATGAAGTGCATACTTGGTGTCCAATATGTATGGATATGATTTCTTTACTAGGTGCAAATGTGGCCAATGCGTGTAGCTGTCCGACTTTGAACCTGAGGAGTGCCTTTGCAGCAGCGAATCGGCAGCAAACTTTCTGATCTACGGTCGACTGGCTGCATTACTGCAAAAGAAGAGTTCCCCTCATGTGCTTGACCATTACAAAGTTAAAACTGTTGTCTGCTTCACGCAACCAGAAATGCAAAGGAGAAAAAAAGAAAAAATGCAGTCGGGTGTAGTTATGCGATTTCCGGCAACTCTCTCCTTCGAAATGTTGCACCATTACTCCGTGCTCGTGTTTTGGTTGCGAGCAGTTGCGTATTTCGGCTTTATTAAAAATATATGTGACTCTGTAGCGAAATTTTAATTGGGTACTCTTCCTACACCATACTAAATCATCTGACAAAAAAATAAAATTTGGGGAGGTGTCAGTGTCCCTTTAAAGTCCGGAGAGCGTCTCAGACTGGCGCATTTACCAGGGCGTCGAAAGTGGCCCTGGTAAATGCACCATGTAAATGCGCGTCAAACAAGTGTCGCATTGTTGCCGGTCGAGATCCTGGGGGTGTCCCAGCAGCGGCGGTAGATATGGCAGACGCTCATTCTGCCGCAGGTCGCTCTAAAGTGCGACAGGCCATGAAAGCTTCAGCAGCCAGAAGTTGGGACATCGTGACAGTGGCAACATTCGCGTTCGCTCATGCTTTTCGCCAGCATTTCTACTTCCAACCGCCACGATCCCGACGTCAGACGACACAACATGCCGTCCCTTGCGACGTCGTCCACCGGCACTCAAGGGGCTGCTCGACGCACGGGCGGTACGGAATGCTCGACGCGGCGGTCGGAGACGCGGGCACCTCAGCACCACGCACCTTGGCGACCTTGAGAGAAGGGTCGTGCTCCAGGGAGGCGGCCAGGTCCGCCCAGACGGGGGCCAGCTTCTGGCAGTGGCCGCACCAGGGGGCGTAGAACTTGACAAAGTGGCGCCCCTGGCCCAGCACCGCCCGGAACGTGCCGTCCGTCACCTCCACCAGGCCGCTGACCGGCACGGGAGCCGCCGGCACGGGCTTCGCCACCTCCTGCGCGGCGTTGGAAATGATGCCAACGATAAAAGGATGCTCAATTTATCCTACCTATGGATAAAGCTGCATACAAAGATTGTGTTTCCGTGGCAACTTTTGGGACTTCTGGTGGACTTTGTAGTTTTTACGGCGGTAGCTGTTAGTGCACCTTTTCGGCAAAAAATGCTCATGTACCAACAGAAAACCCGACCAGAGGCACTGCTCTCTTTCTCCCCATCGTTCCTTGCTTACACATGGCAAGGCTCTTTCTCGCTCCTTCCCCCCTGTAGGTCTCCACTGCTCCGAAAAACTCACGTAATCACGGGGAGGACGTCCTCCTCCTCCCCATTTTTCCTACTACATCCACACACCGTCCCGCAATGACGTCCCTTCCTTCTGCCTCATCGGCACGCAAGTGGTTGCGCTGTGCAGACTTGCTCCCTCTTCTCCCCACTGCCGCCACCCAGGTTCCGTTCTCGCGTCTCTCCGTGCCTCTACGGAACAGTTCGCATATATACTTTCGCTTCTCCCACTGCAAGCACGGTCACGGATGCCCCTGTTCTGAAAGCGTTTCAGCCAAAAACAAACGTCTCATGTTTTTGTTTTTTTTAACACGGGCAACATTAAATTAACTGTTGGGCTAGTTGGCTACACATTAGAGGTCTGCACGAGCCGATATTTAGAAGCCCGCCCCAGCCCGGCCCGCTGTCTCCTGGGCCCGGACTTGCCCGCGGCCTGCTTGCTATCTATTCCCGACAGCCGGCAGGGCCCGGCCTGACGCTAATTTTCAAGGGGGCCCGCTCTATTTTAGCCCAGTATGAATAGCCCACAAATTGAGCAGCATGGCAGCTCACTTGTCACTGTAACTGATAGTCGATGTTGCAAGAATCTTTTTTTCTTGTTTCGTTGCTATTATTAGTTTGACCGATCTGCGGGTCTAGGCAGCACATTAAACAAAAATCTTTTTTTCCAAAAACTATAGAAGAATGGAATATGTTGGCTAATGAAGGATCTGTTTAACGTATATACAAGTTTCTTTGTGTTTCTATGTTTTTGTTAGAATTGAATGTATCTCATATACTCACTCCCGCTATAATGCCGAAAGGTGATGCAGGTGTCTATGCAAATAAAAAAAAGAAAACCCTTTTTCTACGCTATCAACGGACTGCAAAGTGCTGAGGCCGCTGCCTTCTAGAGTCGCACATTAGCACCAAACTATGTCGAGAGCACGTCCGAGCAGGAGCACCTTCTCCTGCAGAGCACAGTTTTGCTCCGCAAGTTGGCTTTCCCCTAAGGCAGGTGGCTTCGTTGGGGGAAAGCCAGCTAGGAGAGCACTTTTTGTTTCTTCCGGGCGGCCGCGTCAACCGCCCGGAGGAAAAAATATTCTCTTTTATGGGCGGAGCGGGGAGAGGGAGGACGGAGCCCCCTCTCCCCACTCCCTCCGCAAGAGACTTTTTTTTTCATTCAAAGCAATCAACGTGGCCGTCTGGGCCTAACGGGTATTGCGCGTGCCTTCCGCGCTGAAAGCCAGGGTTCCATTCCTGGCAGCATGTACGCATTTTCCTTGACTTAATTGTAATGTTCTGGTAAATTCCAGAACCGTGGATTCGAGGTTAGAATGTTCTACACGCCGAACCTTCTACGCCGATGGTTCGAGAATCCCACGCGTGTACAAAAGGGGCCCAACGTGGCGAGCCGGAGTCAGTTTTCACCCCAGCGTTCGACTCTGCTGTCACGCCAACTTCGACACCCACGACGCTCCGCTTTCTTCTGTTCCTTTGCTTTATTTTTGGGCACAAGTTTGCCTTGTTAAACATTTAGTTTCCCCAGTTATTCCTTGTTTCACCTTGTCATTTGTGACAATAGAAGAGATAATTCGATGTAAACAGGTTCGACATAGTCGGGCTTGACTGTAGAGACAAAGCCAGCAAGCTGCTGTCTGCTCACCAATTAGACCCCAGCCCAATTATATCACACTCGGGTATCTCAAATTATGGTTTATATCGAACGTTCCAAACATCCCCTTGAACATCGCATGTAATAGTATAGGAGCCTTGTTTCTTTTTTCTATCCAACTCCCATGGCAGAGACGCTCGATATAGCTAACAAGCCCGGCCCCCTAGAATACTGCCAAATAGACTGTGATCATAAAGTGCAGCAAACAGCAGCTTAGAGAGCATAACGTGCCAAGCACAAACACACCTAACAGTAAAGTTTTTCTTTTCTTTCCCACGACTGCAAGGTTCTCGTCTATAAACTACCGACAAAGCGACACCATGTGCTTTTGTCAGGCACTAAATTAGGCAGCAAAATTTAGAGTTTGGTGCTAGACTGCGGGACTAAGCCGCAAAAGAATGTCAATGTGTCCGCTAGCCCCGGTGAGCCGTGCCTGTTGCTCCGTGCGACGCGACCGGCGCGCCGCCACGTGGCCGTTACCGAAGGTAGGCAGTGAGAGCCCCAACGAAACGAAACCACGCCGCGTACATTGGTACGCATTGAAATCGGAGCGGTGCGGTTGCGCTGGGTTGACAGCATGAACTGCTGCGTCGATAAGTGCTCCAATAGTTATGCGTTGTATCTCGTAGGGACGAAGTTTCACAGTTTTTCACCTCGCCGATGTTTTGTGGGACAGCGACAACGATGGACCCGTGCCGTACGACGCGAGAAATTTGGTCTCCCGATCATGTCTGCCACTGTGTCGGCACGGCTGACATATTCTACACTGCCGCTTTGCGCTCTGCGTTTGTTTTCGTACCAGTAACGCCTACATATCTCAGCTCGAACTGAAATGCCATCCCACACTCGCGGATATGCAGTGCGAATTTTGTTGAAGGAATGCCCTCCAAGGAAGTTTCGTCCTCATCGTATGTGTCGATGGTATTTCCGGACCAGTGTGGCACGCAGTCTGTACTTCATGAAGTAAGATTCGGACGGTACAAAAAGTGACAAATATGAATCTAAGGAAAACTACAATAAAACTTGGAATCAATGGACAATCAATGTTTGAGTATGGAGGTTTATGTGGTGTGCTTTCTTTTTTGATCAGCCTCCTTTTGGATGTGGAAACGCTGACACCCCGAGTCTTGTAGACAACAAATTTTGTTTCTCGGCTTTAGAGCTACCTATTGCAAAGTTGTTCGAACTGGAAGTACCGTCCACTGGTCCCTTCCTACCTGTAAAGTCTCCATCTCCCACGACGAGTGGTATTCTTTTCACAGCCCTTTCACGGTCAAAACCGTTTCTCATTCAGTTACACCGCCCATACCAACTTTCCACCTGGTTTCCCTATGCCACCTATTTTTGGTATTAAAACTGTTGTGTCAAGTTACGGTCATGTCCAAGAACCTGTGTGTTCAAATCTGCAGTTCGCACAGCCGGTTATAACGCAACATTTTGGATCCAATATTGGATATTCCTGACAGCTTTATTCCTTTATTCGTTCGAACCATAACTTTCAGACCTGCTGTCTTAATAAAACTTGGCCCACTTAGTGCACAAACTTAGTGAACATCTCACTCGCCTCCAAATATCATCGTCACAACAGTCCTATGTTTACAGCAACGAGCGAAACAAATTTCCCACCGAGAGCAATTATGGTGGCGACCGTCTAAAGGCCCGTTCACACCCTTGCGACCGACTTCGACTGAGAGAGGCCAGACCGGTTTTTAAGCCTTTTGCGACTTCTTAGGACCGAATGCAATGCAGCGGAGCTGGTCCTAAGAAGTCGCAAGAGGCTTAAAAACCGGTCTGGTCTCTCTCGGTCTAACTTGGTCGCAAGAGTGTGAACGGGCCTTTACTTTAAGGAAAATTGCTCAAACCCTTTTTTCGACCACAACAAAAGAAATTACCCCTAATAACGACTGAAACTCAATATATAAGAAGCAGAGAACAGCTAAGTGCCCTTCTTAAATCTGCCCCAGCACTTATGCAACGTCACCCTCAACGTATCGGCTCAAAAAGCAAAAGTTCCGTCCGTGCGCGCTTCCACCGCCACAGCTTCGCACGCGAAAAGGCGCCGCAGGCTGCTGAGCGCACCTCACTGTCAAACACCAGCTCCTCCGCTAGCGGCGCTACGTGCGGTTTTCAAAGCGCCCCCTATAGTTCCCACACGGAGCGTATAATGGAGAGGAGTGCATTAAAAAGAACTTGCTGTCGGTCAATGTTGCAACTACCTCGTTGCATCACTGGAAAGATCAAATGAAAACCACGTCATCCCGAATGTACTGCATCATTTGTCAGTTGCGCAGAGGACTGGGTCGTTTTTGGCTCAATTTCTGGTCAATACTCCATTCTTGAAGCAGAAAGTATTGAAGAGAACCACACTCACAAAGGCTAACAAACACATAGTTACCATGTCGTTCACTCCGCACCCCACCGTAACTGTTAGTAGCACTACACTGTACGATGGTAACCGTATGACCACACAGCGTCCATTTGCTATCCATGGCCCCGTCGCGTTCTCGTGCGTGCGCAGACGTTTGCCGAATTTTTGCCGAATTTTTGCCTTCAAAAGTTTGGCATGTGCCGAACTTTGCCGAATCTGAAGTTCGGCAGATTCAGTTTATCGCTAATAAAAATGATGGAAGAATAAAAGGGCGAAGAAAAAAGTAAGGCCTAATAGCCCCTTCCGCTGGCAAATAGCAAGCGCTCGGCGGGCGCTCGCCGAGCAGATTTTTCTTTCCCTTGTGACATCCGAGCAATCTCTCCGTGTGCCACTTGTAGATCTGGATCTGTGGGGGCACTCGTCGAGCGGCTCCAACCGATCCGTGGGAAAGTGGCGGAGCGCGTCGAGTCGTCAGGAGTAGTTCTCCGCGCAGCCTTTTTCGGAGGAGTATGATCTGTAGTCACTCACGACGTTTCAGTTTGTTATCAACGTTCCCGCAGGAGGGTGAAGGAGTTTCGCGTCGTTTTTGTTTCGATTGCTGGGTGGGCTCTCTTGCTGTGCTTGCTTTCATTCCTGTCGTCATGACCGACTCACCCGAGCATGCTGCGGCGATGACATTGTTGAAGTTAATTTTAGGAGATCTGATAAAATGCAGTGACAGCGAAATCAGCGACAACGACGAAGATACCAGCTTTGCTCCAGCTCGAGTGACGACGAGGCAGCCGTTCTCGGTGAAGTGTTTGCCGAGTCACTCGCCTTGCCAGCGAAGAGGCTCAAGATGTCGCATTACATCGAAGACGTGCGCGCCTATTTGGATGAGGAGCTAGGTAGGTCGTTTGTTCGTTTGCGGTCTCTGTAATGTAATTGGAATAATTAGAAGACAATACGCCAAATGCTCCGCAGATGGAAGTCGCCTTCGGAGATGACGTTCGCTTTACGGCATACTTGTTTGGTATTCTTCAATTGCATGCTACGGCTCGTACAAGTACTTCTAGTTGTCTACATTTGGTTTATATAACTGTAAGGAAAAATAAATTATGTCTTAACGTTGGGGTTACCGTTAACCAAGTAGCAAACAATCAAATTTTTTGTCAAAGCATGAAGTTCTGATCAGAACTTCATGCTTTCAGCAAGATAGCAGACACTCTGAAAGCGGTGGCGCTGGGAGCGTTTCGCTCGATTTGATCTGCAGCACGTGCCACTGGGGTGAGTTACGTGACCGATCGCTCACGAAGGCCAACCCCTCGACGACCGCTAACACGGAGCGCTCAGCATCTGCCAGGGGGAGGGGCTATAAGCTTGATGGCTGGCCACGCTGTCCGAAACGACAGTGACCTCCAGGACAGTGTGGCCAGCCATCAAAGCCCAAACCTTACACCCTTTTTAGAGTGCAGCTCTTAGGCGCCTATTTCCGGGTTGAGCGGCAGCGGCGTAATCGCGCACGTTGCATTACGAGACATTTCCCCGCTAAAGTTAGCAGAAAAATTTTCCCGCTAAATTTAGTGGGGAAAATGACGTCCTAACTTCGTGTCATGTCACCCATGAACAAATTCAGCGACAGGAGGAGAGGAGGAGGGGAGGAAGACAAGGTACAGAGGAGGAGGAGGGGTATACCTTCCCCTCCGTACCCTCTCCTTCTCCTCCTTAAGAGCAGCACTCTAGTTTTGCATTACAGAGATTTGTAAACGTCTTTCATTTTTCTTCCCCATTTTTCATCTCTTTTTTTATTGCTATTTCTCTCCCGCCCCTTTTACTGACAATTTCACGTCTTTTTATTTGTGCATCTTTCTCTGTTAACTGTCAGTACTTCTCTGTTTTTCTCTCCCTTATATTAAACGCCAGTAGTAAGCAGCGCTCTATCCTGTCACTACGTTCTTCCCCCCTTGTGTTTAGGCTAATTTTACCGAGATTTATAGCCAACTAGCCCACCAGGTGATTTTATGTCGCATGGCCTGCCCTAATTGGGCGCCTCTTCAATGGAAAGGAAGCTTATTTCTCACCCACTGCCTGTCAACTTCTCCGGGGGAGCACGCCCGACGCTTCCCACCACGGCATACACAACGGGTAAGTGGAGTAACCTCGTGGCCACTGAGGCAGCCCAATGCAGTCATAAGCCTGAAGGCAGCAGCCCCCTTTGTCGTTGCCACAAAATAAACGTACAACCACGAGCGCCCAATCCCCCGCCTCAGCAGTGTTCACTTCCGTCTGTGTCTGCATCTGCGGCCTGCAGTGCGACAAGTGAGATATCGTCAACTCAGTTACGACTTCCCTGCCTTAACGCAGAATCTAAGCGGGATCGATGAAGCCATTGGAGAACAACTCCTACATTATGCAAGTGCATTGCACGCAATAGTTTGCATTCAATTTCACGTATAAACGTATTGCGCCGGGGGGATTGCGGTTATGAGTGGGCCAGGCAAGGGCCCTCGGCACCCAAGGGGAAAGAAGACGAGGATGGCACGGGGCAAAGCTCGAGGATGGTCGGCACGAAACGGTGAAAGGACGAGGCGCTGCTTCCAGACCGTCCGACTCTGAGACAGTAAAGCCCTTCACACCTCGCACTGTGTGATCTCTTTCGGGGCTGTCGATGCGGGGCATGATCACGTGTTGGCTAAAGTGGACACCCACGGCGTTTAACCCTTACAGTGAAGTAACTTGCGTAACAATCATTTTTCCTGGTCCCACAGTTTATCACATTCACTGAGTCAGTCGGTGAGCAACTCCCCACTGCCTGCAAAGCGTAGCTTTTGACACACGACGGGCATCAACTTACCTGTGCCTGAGAAAGTGAAGGATGACCTTTTCCCTTTGCCTAGCAGCACCACAAGGAAACCACACCACTTCTGTGCCGTTATCTTGTCTATCTAGCTCAGAGGTTACCACAAACGTTTTGGGGACCCGTTCCGAATCGGCAGAGGGGATGGGGGACTCCATCCACCGGGGAGCTAATATATACACTGACAAGGGGTAAATGAAGAAAACTAAATGCACACAAACCGAAGCTCCGAAATGGAGAGGAGTCAATTCTACTCACTCGGTGCACATGGTACGGTTTATTTAGCCTTGTGGAACAGCCAGGACCAATAAAAAAACAAGGTTGCTCCGCTTGATTGATGGTGGAGGGCTCTGGGGACACCAATAAAACCTCCAGGGACTCCAGAAGCCTTTTTTGAGAAGCATGGATCTAGCTTATATTTGTATCCTCCCTAATATATCTAGCTTATTTTCCTATCTCTCCCATTATCTCAGTTATCTATCTACCAACCCATCCTATATTTCTATCTGTATTCCTATCTCATCTACCTATCTATTCATCTTATCTATCTATCTAATCTAGTATGTCTATCTTATCTAAAAGGCTGTCCCTCAGCCAGCACTCACCGGCTGCTCCTGGCCCAAGCTCTCTGCAATGAAAGCTTCGAGCGAAATCAGGTCCCGGGGACCCCGGTACTTGACGCCTTCCTTCGAGCCTTCCTTGAAAAACTTGAGCCTGAGGGAGCAATGCGGAGAAAACAACTCATTAGTTTCCCCACGTTGATTTCACTCACTGAGCTGAGACAACAAGAAATAGGGTGGCTGTTAATGTACGGATTTTCCAAGTCAAACTTCCAAAACAATGTGCAAAAGCAAGGCTATGGTGGCCCTTGGCTTTCCTTCTCGAAATTGGGAAAATTAACTTTGACCACTTTAGCAACTCTTTTAGAACAAAAAAAAAAAAAAAAGGCAAAGGAAAGATAGGTGACCAGTCTAGTTTTGGGCAGTTTGATACTTTAGCTCCGTGTTGCAGGAAAAAAAACAACAGCCACCAGGTAGGCAAAAAAAACTTGCTTTTCCTTAGGACTCATTACAATATGTGGTGTTGGAAAAAATCAGTGCAAGTCCTTATTTCAAACTCTTTTGTTTGTGTTCAGCCTATTGAAAAGCATGGCAAGAGTCTAAACTTGCGCCCAACCTTGCCACACCTTCCCCACGGTAAAGTCCGTTTGCTATGGTCATCATCACCATGGCAACGAAGCGTCTGATCATTAGACATACACACGAATGCAGAGTCTAAAGCCTACAACAGCCGGTGCCATTTTCCCAATGCCTTCTCCTAATGTCAAAGCAGCAGCGCTAGCTTAAGGCTGCAAGCTAGATTTCAAAACAGACTGCACTAGGCGCAGTCACCCCTCACCTTGCTCTACTGATCTCAGAGAAAATGGATCTTAAACTCAGGCCCGAGCTTGTACCGAACCTTTTTGGAAGCACCAAGGGTTCACCAGGCGACCACTTTCCGCTCTCAACTAGGGTTGCCATCCGCCCAGTTTTCGACTGACATGGTCGGCTTTTTAGATAACAGGCCGGTTGCCAGCCTGTATCTAAAACTGGCCGTCATTTGCCGGGCTTTTTCAACTATCCAAGTGCATTTTTTTTTTCTTTTTTTTTAGTTGGGGGGGGGGGGGGTTGGGTTATAGATATATTGATGGAGAAACACTGCTTCTAGACTTCTAGAGCTCCTTTGTATAGCTTGAGATACAATTGAAATGATATTTACATGGCTTATCTGCCTCTACAATCCGACTACAAATATGTACTTGGTTTTGATGCAGCCTGAGTAGTTTTGCTGATACTGAAAGTTTCATTTGCACAGATTATGGAAAGGAATAAGACAACTTGAAATACTGAAATCACAAGATAAACATATCTCAGTAAACTGAAAGGTCTGTGGAAGCTAATAAGTTATAAATAAACGGCCTGTCCCTGGAAGGAGGAGCAGCACGCGTGCTACCACCAGCGACTGGAGGAAGCAGCCGCTGTTCCTGTCGGGGAGCTGGGGCCCTGCAGTCGGCCGCCAAGAACTCGGGAGAGACCTGGGTGGCCCTCGACTCCGAGCGTGGTGCAGGGCCCCTGCGCACCATCTCGGCAAAACTCCCCTTTGACGAAAAGGAGAACCGCTTCTTGGCATGGTATGTTTTCCTTTACTTTGATGGTAAGAATGTCCTTTTCTAGCTTCCAAGAGGGACATGCACGATAATAAGCAGGATGTGGTCCACTGCAATTAGCGCAGAGGGCCACAGCCGCCTCGCAAGTATCGGAAAGTGACCTTGATTACTGCACTTCGCACACGTCTCCTTCCCTCGACAGCTGCGTGTTCCATGACCAAAACGCTGGCAACGGAAGCACCGCTGGGGGTTGGGGACGTACGGGCGGATGCAGCAGTTCAAGTAACCTGCCTTGACTGTCTCGGGGAGAGTGTGCCTTTCAAAAGTCAGGATAACATGTCTCGAAGGGAGGAGCAGACGACCTGTTTTCCACATAGCCCGTCAATGGAGGTGGGTGGCTGCGGCACTTTCGCTTTCTACCCCACTTTTCAGCCTGTTTTCTTTTCAGTCACGTGGTACGTCCACAAGATGTTAAAAAAAAATGTATTTGCCTCAATGCTTTAAAACTCTATCGTTTTTTTTTGTTTTCTCTTTAGTAGGCCCTTCTTTGTGGTCTTTGCCCAAACACGAGGCTATGCTGGAACCTGCACCGACTGTCTCTGGGAAAGGCTGACATCTGGAGCAAAAATGGAAACTGTGTGTCCCCCAAAGCGACAGGAGAAGTGCACAATAGAAACGGCTTGCTGACTGATCACTCATCCCTGCTGCATAGGATGAGTAGAGGTGCACGATTTGTTTTTAGTGCATTACTTTCTATCAAATTGTATGTATCTATGCATGTTATTGAGTTCAGTCTTGTGTATTTGTGTACTTAAATGTGCTATTGTATTTTATGTCTATGTTGAATCCTCTCAATCCTGAAAATGTTTGGATTAAGGGCGATTTCACATAAAAAAAGCACTAGTAAGAGGCACTACATCACTTGTTTCGTGAAAAATGGGATATATTTTGTAAAATATTACTTTAAACATGAGCAGAAACCGTAACCAAACCTTCGGCTGAATCGGACAACATTGGCCTCGGGCCGCGAAAAATATGGCTACCACGTGGTATGGTCACGTGATCCTCTACGCGACGACGAGCAAGATCGGGGTGGGCCACCGTTGGGGCAGTCGTGTGCAAGGCACAAGTGTCGTCTGCACAGCAGTCTTCACTATGTTTGGATGTCTACAATATACGTCTGCACAACTGCAGCATCAGTCTGCGCACATAGCCTGAACGGAACTCCGAGACAATAATCACAGACGGTGAGGGCGGTTGTGAAGCAGGGAATGGCGGTGACGGCCAGACGGCCAGACAGCTCCCAAGGCTGAGAAGCGCATTGAACAGGCGCGTTATGCAAATCACTACAACACCATTGAGCACTGCTGACCTGACCCGTAGCGTTTGCTCGGAGAAGTAAAAACAAAAAAAGGCAGCAATGTTGACGATGTTTAACACAATGTTAACTACGCCAACACCATAGCCTTCACTGCACTGTTGATTGCAGTCAGCCGATTTTGGCGAATTGGCGCATTCCAAGGTTTTCCGGACCCTTTAAAGGGGCCCTGCAACAACTTTTTGACTGGTTTTTAATTTGCACCGATCCTGAGCGTACTGAACGTAGTAACTTAATGAAACTTTTCTTTTCTCAAATTTCACTTTATTTTAAAAGTTAAAGGCAAATTAGAATTACAGAAACTAGCAAAAGATAACCTCCTTCATGACGTCGTAGGTCCTGGCTTGGGTGGCCGTGAACTAGAGGAGGAATAGTGAGCTCATCGAGCGCTCACGGCTGCCGCACTCCGTGTCGACGGCTCGAGAGGGCGCCACTAAAGCACATGTTGGATAGGCTGTATAAAGCAAGCGGCCAGGGCGGCTCGCATTGCATTTGCTGCGCGATTAAAGACTAATTCGGCATAACACTTCATTGGCCACAAACGACAGGAAACACGGGTAAAGATCAGTTCAGAACGGGAGCCACCTAGCGCTGCCATACCGCCAAATGGCAAAATCGCCAGCCAAGCCCGCGCCGAAAGCCTTCGGAACGCTCGGAACCGGTCGGATCCTCGAGCCGGTATACGACCGCAGCGCTGCTGCATACATCCGAAACCTTTCTATGCTCGCTGTTCGTCGGAGCCTCATCCCACTAGCCTTCTCTAGTATGCGCCGTTTTTTCCGCCGCTAGGCGGTGGGTATGTTGACGGGTCATTTCTTGTTTCCGTACTTTATAAACTGCATTTGTTTCTTTTCTGATCTAAAATACTGAACAAAAACTACTTGTATGCATAAATGAAACGGTTCGCGACACTTATATTTTGTATCTCGACTAGAAAAAAAGATTTTAGCTGCTCTGACGAGTAGTAAGCCCAGGACCAAAGACGTCACATATCGCGCGCTTTCGCCAACGCGGGTCGCCCTCGTAGGTGGAGGAGGTTTCCGCGTCGTCCGGTTAAAATATGACTCACTGATATTTAGTTACTCCCTCCGTGCCCGCTGGCTTGCCCCAACCCCAAGAGAGGTGGAAACCGCAAAAAAGATAGACGCTTAAGTATGATTGCAGGGCCTCTTTAAGAAACATTTAGGCAGAACTAGGTCGTAATATTTGACATGTGCTCTTCTTAGGTGATATTAAAGACGACAGCATAGTTTTTTTCAAAAACAAAAATGAAGCGGAGCTATACTCTTTAATTAATTTCACTTTAGGAAGCTCATGTTAAAATAAATTGAATTAGTATATTAAAGACTGTCAACACTGCGTTCTTCTTTAACCAGTTCAATACCACATAATTACCCCTCCCCCCGCATGGCCGGTTTTTTCCTTCAAAGAAAGGTGGCAACTCTACTCTACTTTGACACCCCTACTAACGTGTCTGGCTTTAGCTAGTGCTACCACATTTACTTTGATGTTGACGCTTCTTGCATGCACAAAAACACCGTAAAGGTTTTGACATTGGTGCACAACAGAAGTTTAGGTTACATATCGTTTTAGCAACATTACACAACTTTTTAAAAGGTTCTCCAATTTTTTTAGAAGCTTCAATAGGAAAATGAGACCCATTCGAGACAGCTAATGCTATTCATCTTTACCTTTCATTGGCCACCATTTTCCCCAAAAAAATTTTTGAGAATCGCTTGCAACTTTTGAATAATATAACAGCAAGCTCCGAAACTTTGGCATCCGGTCCGGACCACTAGCACTACATTGGGGCAGAGACTGAGCATTCAGCAAAGCATACATTACTTCATACTTACAGCGAAAAAAAAAACGTAAATATTTTTTGAGGTAATCAATGTTTAAACAATTCTATGCAGTTTACCCACACTGTAGGCAAAGCCCATTTTCTGCAGTATTGAGCAATCCACACATATTAAGGGTCAATCTCTTTAGCAAGTACCGATAATGAGCGAAAGCTGTGTGTGACAATAAAAGAAAATATATGCCTTACGTTGGGTAACTCGTGATGCCTTGGTCAGCACAGAGGGTTGTGTCCACGGTACAGTCCACCTGCATTTACAAATATGGTCAATCAAGACCTCTGTCATAGCCTCTAGGAGAAAGCTTGAGCCTTTGACGCCAGAACCGGCCATCAAAACGGGAGAGACAGAGGACAGAACATGACGAGGATAGAAGGGTGGTGGCACCCCCAGAAATTCATGGGTGTTGCATTACCGAGAGGCGCATTAAGGGGGGACACTACCCGGAGAAAAAAAGATTCTTCAAAAAAACATTGATTTTGAAAAATTACATATTTACATCCATCTACATCCAGAGAGTATTCCCAGAAATTTTCACTAGTTTACACTGCATAGTTAATTTTTTATAAATTATTTTCTGTCCACCAAAGCTAAAGGAAAGGTAGGGTTTGGAGCACTTTAAACACATTTTTCTCCGTTCCACTTTTTTGTAAAAATTCCATTTTAGTCAATCTATCGTTTGAAAATGGAAATACAGGCAAGGCTCGTTCTTCACTTTTCCTGACTGAAATTTAATAAGGAATGCGCCTATGGAGTTTGTTTGTCACTTTACGGATGTCTTTTATAAAAAATGTTGACATTTTGTCGGAGACACAGAAGACCAAAAAGTTGACCAATTTCGCAGAAGAGAAAATTGATAGAAATCAATTACTTTTTACAAAAACCTTTCCATAGGCACACCTCCCAGGCATTCTGCTACATATCTAGCGAATAAAAATCTTTAATATTGTGATAGTTTTCTGACGATAGATTAACTAAACAGTGTAGGGGTGTTGCTGATAGAAGCTGCCGTAATTTCCTTCCCAATTAACCGACAGACCTTAAAATTTTGTTATGCACCCTCTAGCATGACCACCAGCCTACCCTGTAAATTTCATTAATTTTAAGCCAAGGGTTCAAAAGTTGACCCTCCCAGGGGGTGTCTCCCCTTAAGAAGGCTTGGAGCCAAGAGGAACTTGGAACATTGTCGCTTATGGCGCTCTTACTCCCAAATCGTCCTCGTCTTCTTCGACATGCACATTCCCAATCAGGTGCTTCTTGATGCGAAGCCACCCCCTTCTAGGCGTCATTTGTCCTTAGCAGTTTGGTGCGAGCAATACCCCACCGTTCCATGTTATTTTGTGCCTGTAAAATAGTCCCGGAAACCACACTTAGCCAAATTCGCAAAGTATTGATCCCGCAAAAATAAAGTTGTTTACAGCGTATTCAGGGTTCTCCCCACGGTGGGCGGCAGCGGCTTTGCCACCCACCGCCTCAACTGACAGCCCGTTCTTTGACTGAGCGCCCACCACTCGATTATGCCACAGGATGACGATGAGATTTTGCCTGTGCACATGACTGCAGACAGTCGTACTCAGCAGGCCAGCATACCACCACATTATCGCCTGTTATCACATCGCCCACTGCCGCCACTCCTTCAAACAAGGAGAGCGGAGCCGCAGAGCGCCGCTGGCCGTGCAGGGAGGGCGAGTGCTCGGCCGAGGAGAAGCGCAAAACATAGCCTCCTCTATACTCCAAAGCCTAGCAGTTCAACGACAGAGCCATAGAGTGCCCAGTCGCAGATTTGGAGAGCGAGGATCTGGTAGCACAGAGCATTTCTCGGGGGGCCTGTAGTCAGCGCACAGCTTTTGCAGCGGCGAGGACCCGAAACAAGGTTTTCAAACCCGACGAGAAAAGAAGCAGTAGCGCCAGTAACGCAAGGAGCCATGAGCGGACATTCCATCGCTCGGGACAAGCGAGTTTCAGCTTCTCACCGCAGCGGGGCGCCTGTCCCGCTGCGGTGAGAAGCTGAAACTCGCTTGTCGTCGTCTGCCGCTCCACCTTTTCACTTTCGGCGGCCGCGTCTTGCGGCGATCTGCCATGCTTTGGCAGTATAGAGGAGACTATGCAGATGCGAAGAACGTGCACTGCGCAGCAGTTCTCTCCGCAGGCGGTGATTGGCCGAGAGCAGAAAGTTGAGAGGACTTTTCTTTTGCTGCTCAATGCCTGCTCACGCCGTGGCTTGCTTTATCTTTGCCTTGCCTTTCCTCCCCCCCCCCCCCCCCCCCCCTTTTTTTCCAGGGCATTTTTTTTTTTTTTTTGTTATCACCGCGGCGTGGCGCCACTTACAGGGCCGCGAAGTTCGACAGCCTACGCAAAATGCTTTCTGTTCGCAAGCCAGATTGTGCCGCATTGCAAACTACCTTCTCCCCCTCCCCCGAGTGTGTTAAAAGATGTTTCGCTAAAAGTCAATCTGTTTTAGCGACACACGATCAACTCCAAAGCCCCTTGATGCGTAGACCTTTATTGAGGCATCTTTATATAAACCTTTTCCACAAGGGCGCCGCCATCTTGAATTGTCGTCACTTCCAGTATGGGCGACGAAAAAAAAGTAAAACGTTTCAACCCGTAACTAGTAAAAAAATAGAGGCGAGCCAAAACGAGAATGTGTGACGGTTAGGCTTATATCCTAAATGTCTTCTATTGGCGCGGCAACGGCAAAGTTACGTTTTCGCCCATACTGGAAGTGACGTCAATTCAAGATGGCGGCGCCCTTGTGGAAAAGGTCTATAGGCTGGTGTTTTGTTCCGACAGCTTGCATCTTGGTCACCATGAAAACCAAAAGAGATCCGTAAACAACTGTGCAGTACCGGACACATTCTCGTCTGTCTGTTTGTAGAAGTCACTGTGCCCAATAAAGTACCACAAATTCATCACCACCATTAGTATGGCTACATTTAAACTGCTAAATGAGCCAACAGATGGCAGTGAGTTTCAGAGGGAGCCTCTGAACATTATGCTGCCTGTATTCCGTCCTAGCTCCACACCCTACAACAAGACAAAGCCAGGCTTCGTCAGGGTCAGACCGGCTTGCTCACCTTAGCGATGGTCACCTTGCTCTCCTCCTTCGCCTCGTTGTACTTCTCGGCCAGTTCGTCCCAGGTCGGTGCTAGCCTCTTACAGTGGCCACACCTGGAGCAGAGGGTGACAACGGGACACGCCACTGAAACCCCTGGGCTGCTTTGAGCAACGGCAAACGTCCCACTTCGAGCATTTTTCCTTTGTGCTGGGATGCGCCACTCACGAGCCTGATAGCAGAAAGAAGCGAAAGGAAATTCCATACATTTTTTATTCGCAAGTTTTTTCGATGCAAGAAGGTTTAGACGTGTTTTGTTTTTTAGCCAAGACAACATTCTGACACCAGAATGTTTTCTTGGTTAAAAAGACAGAACTGCACCTTAAAAGCCAAGAAAATTCATTTTTCACAAAAAGAACACATACTTCACTCGTGAAATGGTAAATACATTTTAACAATCAAAGCAAGAAAAAAAATGTTGCGATGCTTTTTTGTTGGTTTCCACGTGCGGAGGTAGGCAAAACCAATGCAATCCAAGGAGTTTGTCTGCTATCAGACACTCCAGACTCGCCAGGGGCGCTGCAATCAGTTTTTCCTTGCATGCCACGGGAGTTTCCAATATTAGTTTTCGAACAATTTGTTATTACTATTATTATTATTATTAGTGTCATATTCAATACAGGTTCAACTCTGATAGTGCCGAATATTGGACAAAAATTTGGAAGTTGAATTGAATATGAACACTAGAATGCATTCTCAATGTTCACAAAACTAAATAAGGGCCTGTGTTTTATCAGTGTTTCGGTGACGACTGCATCTAAATGCGTTAGACAGGCACGTAGCCAGGATTTTAGTCCAAAGGGGGGGGGGGGGGGGGGGGTGCCCGCCCATGACAAAATGCTGTATGAGGGGGAGGGGGAAAGGAGGTCCCAGCAAAATGGAAGACTTTGGAAGTGGACCCGGGCCCCAGTGGCCCCCCCTTGCTATGTGCCTGGCATTAGAGCTGATGGTATTATCGAGGCTATGGCCACATTTACACGTCAAACTTAAAGGGATACTGAATAGAAACTTAAAATATACCTCTCAAGTTCAGAAATAAGTTAAACATCTTCGACTCTATCTGCTAATTACAATCGCAGGCTTGTATTTTGAACGGATGGCTGGATTTTTAGTTCCAAAGAACCGATTGCAGAGAGCGTTCAAAGACCAACCATCGGAGAGTGCAATGAATCGCGGGAGACGTAACGTTAAGTGGCCCGGCACGGGCACAAAGCTGCTTGGGGGCTGGCGTGCTCGTGAGCTCCGTCAGTTGATGTTGTCAACGTGTTATAACCTGGCCGTTTTAGTGGCCCCTCCTTGCTCCCTGCAGGAGTTGAATAGGCCGGGAGAGAAAAGAAATCCGGTTCGACAGGGCTCGCACGCACACAGCTTGTCGTCATACTTACACGAAGCAGGGCTGCTTTTAAGCACACTGACATGATGACATTTGGTTTACTACTTTTATATCATGTTTTGGCGTCCTTTCGGGCAAAAGATTGGTGTCTGTGGTGCGATTAGAATGTGGTTGACATGTAGAGAATAAAATAGGTGCTAGAATTTTGTAGCAGTATCCCTTTAAACTCAGGACACACCTGACAGGTGTGTCCATCCATCCACGCCTTGACATGCAACGTGCAGAACGAATGAACAGATATGGCTGAAATGTTTGAATCGGGCGATGTCTTGCGCCACCTAGCCCTAGCACCTCACTCGATGCTGCGGAGAGTGACGGATTATTAGAAGTGACCGGTTTAATTATCACTGCTCTATGTATTTGGACATAATACTTTCTTTTATATGTCCTAGTTCTAGCCTCGAATAACAACGAGCTCCCCCGTAAATTATCATACCCAATGTTCCTTCCTTATTTCCTGTTTTCGTCCCCTATACATTGTTAAGGCTTATTTTCCATTCATTTTTTCCTCCCACATCTTTCTCTTGGCTTCTTTTACTTCCTTTTCACAGAGGTAGTCTGTTCTGCCCCTGCACTTGACTGTATTTTAATTGTAGTTGTCGGGTTCGGTTTGTTCATTTCGTGTTTAAACTTTTCATGTATGTGTGTCCTCAGTTCTGTCTAGCCTTTGTTCAACTTCCTGATCAGCTCTCTCGCCTCGAAAGATGCCCAGCTGGTGTATTCCCATGCACACCCAGTGCCCACACTCTTCTGCCGGATCTCTAACTCGACCTCAGGATTTCATGCATAATACCGAGTTACCAAAAGACAACCACGGTACCCTGACTCCTCTCCATATCCCCCTAACAACTTCATAACTTGTAATCTCATAGCACCCTAAGCTTCATAATTGCTGCATTCCTTTTTCCTTTCTTTAGCATATTTTCTTCCGAATCTTTTAAGTACTGTTTTCCCTCATTCAGCCCTACTCCTAGGTATTTCTACTTCTCTACGTGTTCTATTGAAATGTCTTGAATTTTCAGTGGGTCCGCCTTCTCATCCTTAGAAACCATTATTCCCTACTTGTCGCTACTCAAGTTTAGGCCCAGAGAGTCTCCTTCATCTCCACAAATCTTAATGTAACCTATCCCGGCTATCTGTTAACAGTACAATGTCGTCTGCATAGAACATTCCTGGTAGAACTTGGTTTTCTTTCCACCTTTCTGTCCGTATATGACACATCAAAACCTAGACTGCACTCTTCTCATTTCTTTTCTATTCTACTCGGGTATGTCATAAAAACTAGAGGTGGTAGGGGGCAACCCTGCCCGAGTTCTCTTTTTGTTTCCGCCGGTTGTTATTTCGGCTTTGAATCCAATGCATGGCCTAGACTGGATTTGTCGGCTGTTCCCTTTGTATCGGGTGAGCAGAGCTTACGCTCCGCTCTAAGCAGAATTTATTGCCCATTTTTCCGGCCCCAAGTCCTCGCTCAGGACACTTAAAGGCGTTTCTGGCTCAATTTCCCTGACTGGGCTCACTTTTTTTACAATATTCTTGACAATTCCCCGATTTTTCCCGGTAATCAAAATTTCCGACAATTTCCAATTTTTCCGGTCGCTAGACACCCCGGATGTGCTCTGGCAAACGCTTCAAAAGTTGTGATTCCACAATATTTGCTCGGGACAGCGGCCAAACTCGCATGCTCTGTGGTATTGTTTCACGCTACTCAGCATGGAGTTAAAAACTTTCTTTTGTGTTCCTTTAAATGCTTCCCATCTGCCGGCATGGTGAAACGATGTCGCTTGGCGACGGTATTCTTCGGAACGATCAATAGTTAAGATGCAAGCATGGTAAAGGGCAGTGTTGGGAAGTACTTTGGGTACATTGTACTTGAGTACTACTTTAATTAGGTTTAGGAAACTTGTACTTTACTTGAAGTACATTCTCTGAGTATGTACTTGTACTCTACTTAAAGTATTTTTTCCGGTACTTTCCGAGGAAAGTACAATTTCCGACCTCAAAGTGCATTCCCCAAATTCGGTCTGGTTAAATTTGTATCACGAAATGATGCTTTGTCAGCTCCAAAGAAATACTGGGAGGGATATTCTACTCTCACCAGAGACGTGAGCAGACGATGCATCGCTCCACTTGTTCCGGGGGGGGGGTTTCCCCATAGCTTTTTAAACTCTGGCTACTTCTTGGTTGGTCAGCGCAAGCAAGGAGGTTTAAAATATCAGGAGAGCAAAATTAATCATAATCTATCAACTGAAACTGTAGTGCGGAACAATTAAACTTTCAAGTCGAAGAAAAAGACAACAGAGATGAATGTCACAATGTTTTGAGACATTCTCTTTTGTTTTTTCCTTCGACTTGAAAGTTCTTAATTTTTTCGCACCACAATCTCAGGTGTCACATTATGATTAATTATCACCAGCTCGCTTTCACACTCACTGTTCTTTTTTTTCATTAAATAAAGGACACTCCTCTATGAGAGGGTTGCTTGCGGAAGCTACGGGGCTGATGTCATGCTCCCTCTAGTACATTTAAACCCCTTGGGAGCAACAATGCAGTGCAAGCGGCGCCAGACTCGGAAGAGCGACTTCTGAATTTGGCTTCGTTCCTTAAAATAACTACTTTGTGGCCACTTTATCAAATATCCACCGCTGTTTTAGGAAATAGGTCATGCAGCCCTGCTTACCCCTGGGCAATGCATACCAGTTAAAAATCACTCTATAGGGGAATGAAAGGGCATCATGAAAGATTGTGTTAAAATACTTTTACTTCACTTTAAAAGTACATTTTATTTATAGTACTTTATTTAAAGTACATTGCACCCAGTGTACTTGCTACTTTACTTAAAGTACATCACGTCTCATTTACTTTGAACTTTACTTGAAGTACCTTTTAGATGTACTTTACCGAACACTAATAAAGGGCTGAAGGAAAAACCGAAAAAAGACATGGATAATCATTTACTTTTTTTCAATCCAGAAATAAAACTGAAAGAAAAACAGGTGCTGGCCACTTATCACTCGCAGCACCATTGGCCGCCAAGTGTGATTTGCCCGTGCTGCAAAGCACGTGAGCTCAGTCGTTCGGCTGGTGTCCAAAGCGATGAGCAAAGATTGTAGAATCACGGCTGCTGGAGCGGCGTCCATCACCGTTTCAATCAGACCAAAGCGCGTCGCGTTGAAGCGAGCAAACAAAAAAAGACGCTGCGCAGGTCTCGACAGCAGGCGGCGTGCCATCGAGGAAGGCGGCTATGCAGTTCGGTCAGCACTCTGGTGTTATCCAAACTTTTGCTCCTGACAGTACCACAGTGAACAGCAATGCGGATTGCCTGGACACCACTAAGCACCATGATAGAGTATGGAGATACAGGTGTTTATACGTGTTCCAACTCAGCAAGGCAGTGCATTAGCTACTTGAATTATGCGCACTGAAGGCCAATTTTACTTGGTTTCTTTTTTAGTAGTTGTTGAGGGCGCTGAGGGGCAGCATTCGGTGCTTTCCAGAAAAGTGTTGGGATTTGCACGCGCGAGCAGTGGCGGCATAGGGAAGCATAAATAGAAGGCTCTGTCCAGGCTGGGGTGTGTCTAGTCACTCTTGACAACTGAGCCTGCTCTGGCTTCCTGACTGTCGGGTTGCATGGCGGAAACTCGGCGCCCACTTTGGCTCCGCCCCAGTCGCTACAGCTGTCACCGCAGCGAGTCCTTCCTGCTGGGCTGTCAGGGCCATCAGACGGCCTCGACATTCCACCTCATAGCTTACACTCAATCCACCATGAGGCCACTCGCTCAGTAAATTCCATTTATTGTAAACACAGCACCAGCGGTGGAGCCCTCCGAGCTGTCTGACATCGACATGGTGAACTGCATCCTAGTCTTCAGACACCATGTAGCAGTATTCACGAAGGACGAGGCCACTACTGCTGGGCTTAAGACACGAGCGCGCACCTCGTTATCCTTTATTCAATGCCGATAGGTTGTTTTCACTGACGTAATTTCGTTTACCATTTTGTTGTTGTGAGCTGTCTGGCGTGTGCCAAACTCGAGCATTCCAAGGATCTACATGACCCCTCAAATACGTAAAGCACAGAAGCTTATGTCATACCACGGTGGCATCTCAACTGGTTGCGATGTAATCCTTCGAAGTAGTAAATTTGCTTGAAAAAACGAACTAACAACGAAATGGCGGATCGACGTCATGTGCAAACAACCTATTGCCAAACGACACCTGTGCACATGCTTCATTAAAATCATCTGGTGGGCTAGTTGGCTATACAACTTGGTAAAATTAGCGCCTAAAATTACCCCTTCTTTCACTGACAATTTCTCATGTTTTCTTTTATTCCTGTGCCTTTCTTTTAACTGTCAGTACTTTGTCTTTCTCGCTATTAAACGCCAGTTGTGAGTAGCGCTCTGTCCTGTTTCTACGTTCCCCCTCCCTTGTATTTGCGCTACCAAGACGCACACGCGGCACCTCAGGGAATCGCCGCACTGACAGGTCTGTGTCGGCCGAAAGGCCTCGCGCATTTTACACGGAGGACGACGAAAAGAGGAACTCACCACGGCGCGAAGAACTTGACGAAGTGGGCGGACTTGCCGACGGCCTCCTGAAAGGCCGCTTCGTCGTACTTCACGACGTTGTCTTTGTACAAGTCCGAGCTCCGCACGACGCCCCACAGGCTCGTGGCGACGGCGCAAAAGGTGACCAGTGTGCGCCTCATCTTGAATCTACTCGTGCACCGATCCCAACTGATGCTCTCGAACTAGGCGAATTAATGACTAGTTTGGACAGAATCCCACTTTTCGGGTGATCACGCCGCCCCCCACACTCAAACGCTTTGTTTTTGTCGTTGGATGTGCTTGGCATGGCTTGGAGTTGACTAGGCAGCTTGACTAGATACTGTAACTGCTCTTTGCTGCTGTGCGTCGTGCGTACTACGCTACCTCGTTGGTACTACGACAACTATGACTGCCTACGACCTTGAATAATAATATATTTAATAAAGTTTTTGTTTCTTGAGGAGTTTTTATAATAACCAGACAGATCAGATCGCTGATCGCCATGTCGCCACATCCGGCTGATGTCACCGCGGCCAACAACAAAACAGAATTTATCCGACTTTAGGCAAGCCAAGTCGCTTTGTGCAGGCTGGTGCGGGACGTGTGCAGTTGTGATTTGTGTGTTGTGTGTATGTGTGCTGTTTTTCTGATATTTCTCGAGGGAGCGCGTGCATTAGCGTTCTCAAAGCGCTGCCAGCGTGTGAAGGTGTGAAGCTGCTTAATCTGCGAGCTGATTAGTGCCGCCTCCCCAAGAACGGTACCGAGCAAGCCGCCGAAGCAAGAAAAGATGCCCAGAAAGGCGCGGAGAAGGGGCCGCGACGCGCCTGTGGTCGCCGCCACCGCCGGCCGGGCTTCCAACGTGTCCACGCGAGCCAAAACAGCGGCCGGTAAACTGGTTGCGAAGGAAGAACAACAGCCGGAGCCCGTCCAAACCCCTGTCGAGACCCCCGAGGAGCCGGTCGAAGAAAACGACGTTGAGCCGGCGGGGGACGACGACGTGATCGAGACGGCTCAGTCGGACGATGAAGACCCGGACGACGAAATGGAAGACGGCATGTTCGAACCCCTCGTGCTGGACATGACGGACGACGACGAAGGTCCCGAAGCAGCCGCCGGTGAGAGCCCGGACGCCGCCGTTGGCGCCGAAGAGGAAAAGACCGAGGTTAGAGCTCCCGAAACTGGAGACGCGAAAACCGCCGAAGATGCCAGCGAAGCCGCGGCTGGCCAGGAGAACTTGGAAGCCTTGGCGGAAGTAGAAGACGAAGATACCGGCGGTGAGTCGGCTGTGGAAAATGACGACTCAGCTGCTGAAAGGGAGAAGGTACACCAGGGTGCTGAACGGGACAATGTGGTCGCCGCTGCGCCCGATGAAGCTACCTTCGAGTCTCGGGTAGACAAGGACAACGAGGCTGCTGTTGAAGATGCAGCTGGTGGCGATGCCGCTGTTGAAGATGAAGCGGGCGGCGATGACGACGCTGCTATTGAGGATGACGCAGGCGGGGAGGACGAAGCTGCTGATCAAGATGAAGTCGATGGGGATGAAGAAGTAGCAGTTGAAGACGAAGTAAGTGGAGACAACGAAGCTGCTGATGTAGATGAAGATGAGTCTAATGTCGAAGACGAAGTAGGGGAAGATGACGAGGCTAATGTGGAAGATGAGGTAGGTGAAGACGACGAGGCGAATATCGATGATGAAACAAGGAAGAACGACGATGCAGCCGTCGATAATGAAGTAGGCGAAAATGACGAAGCTGCGGTGGAGGACGAGGCTGCTGCCGCTGAAGAGGAAGGAACCGGGGACGACGAGGCTGCTGAAGACGACGCCATTGTCAACGACGAGGTCGGCGAAGATGAAGAAGACGCCACAACCACAGACTCCACATGTGTAAAGGAAGAAGCTCCCCCAACGGAGAGTGCAAGCGAAGTCGTGGAGGAAGACGAAGAGAGTGAGGAGAAGACCGGCACAGACGTGATGGGAATAAACGGGCGGGACGTCAAAGAAAAGGGGGAGGGGATGGACGTGGACAAAAGTGTGGAGGCCGGTGCTCCCACGCCGCTCATAAAGCAGGAGCCCCGGGAGGAAGGCCAGGGCGACGAGGGAGAAGCTCCGCCAGAGGAGGAGTCGTTCCTGGTGTCGGACCTGCGCGACCTGTGCCCCTCGGCGCCCCTGGACCCCCCGGAGACCATCTCGGAGTCCTTGCGGGCCACCATTCAGTGCTCAGTCAAGCTCTTCATTGAGAGGCTCCTGCAGGCGAGCGAGGGCACCCCGACCGACTCCGAGGCCAAGGCGGCGCTGGACGATTCTGCGCCTGGGGTGAGAGTGAGACCCCAAACCACTTTTTCCATGCAAAAAATGCGTTGCCAAACGCCGAGCATTCGCCCAAATGTGGCGCCGATGGTCTGGACTACACGCTAACTTGTCGGAGCTCGCCGTTATCTTGGTGAAAGGTTACAAGAGTTTTGAAGGTTTTTAACGAGAAAACGGTGTTCGACGCATATTCGAAGACAAATCGTCTATCGAAAGAGGGCCCCATTTTCCCTCGCGAAAATTTCAAAAAGCACTCGGAACTTTCTAATAAAACTACGGTAGTTCCGAATGTTTGGCATCAGAATTAGACTGCTGGTGCTACATTTGGCCTAGAGCTAAAGAAGGTTTAAAAATGTAAAATTCATTTTTGAAAAAAAAAAAAAAAGAAGGCTATATTTTTTTCTGGAATACATTTATACTTTACCTTACAGTGGACCGCCGCAGAGGCAAGGAGCCATCTGGGCAATCCAGCCCCGCGAATGTATCGCGCCACTATGCACTCTGCATATCGCCGCACCGCTCCAAAAGATCCGCGACACTCGCGCAACATTGGATTAGCTTCAATAGCTCGTCGTAGCATCTGCTGCAATTCACTTCAAAGTGGAACGGTCAGTCCCAGTGGCATTAGCATCAGGGCCTGCTTAGCGATCGTTCCGAGCTGAGCTTTTCTACCGAGTAGTAAAGAGAATTTCGTTAAAGGGGCCGACAATTTTGAGTGCGGAGTGGTCGAGGTAGCCTTTCGTTTATTGACGAAGAGAAAAACATCTAAAAAGGAGGAGTTGGTTACTGAATCGAGAGCTAGCCGTTTCGGGGTGCCGACGTTCCGTCCCGAGCGAGTCTCGAGGAGCGTGTGCTGCGTGCCACGTGCCTGTACCGTGGCTCACCGTGCGAGTAGCAGTCCAATCGTTACCACGACATAGCCGCTACGAGTGCGATACTTTTTACTTTACGCGAGCTTGTTGGCGCTAGTTTGACCTTAGTATGCTCACCCACGACGCCGCTGACCAGAAAGCTTCTTCGGAGCAGTGTTGTTTGGAGGATAAATATTGTCTGTTTGGTCTCTCCTTCGCAAAACCCGATGACGTAATCGCGGGGTTCACAAAGCTGATGTATTTGTGGGGACTGGCGGCGATTGCAATATATCGTGGCTGCTCGTAAATAGGACGCAAGTACCGCACGAGCGCTCGATCTGGAATCGTGACAATCGATGCCTCGACGAACATTTGAGTAATGGCTAGTGTCCGGTCCCCGCAACGACGGAAATGTCTGGAAATCGGCACGTGCCCCGTGCTTTGCCAACCCCAGCGCCCGGCTGCAATGGATATTGGCGACATAAAATCGGCTTTGGATCACGTGTTCGCTTGTTCCGACTACGAGTGGAGAGCGTGAATGCTGCCTGCTCTTTGTTTTTTTCTCCAATGGCTATTGCGTGGAAAGAAAAATTAGTGCATGTCGTGGCAATTGCATGGAGAAAAAAACGAATACTCACCTCATAGGTTACGGACGTCGAGGATTAATACGTGCCTTGCACTGGCGTCATATCATCCATTTCTCACCGCAGCTGAAGAGAGAAAGGGGGAACCTGCGTTTTGTAAAACCATTTGAGTGACGAGTTAAAGGGACACTGACAGGGTATTTATGCTCGCCGAGGTTTTTAGTTGTACGTGACATATGAGAGCTCAACTACCCAGAACAGAGTTTGCGGCTCGAAATTCGGTTTCTTTCCTCCCGAAAACCGCCGATCAAGAACTGGCCGGTTCGAGTCTCGCTCACTCTCTTTTCGGCGGTCACGGGCCGTTTTCTAAGGTATCGATGCGACCACCAAATTTAATCAAAGTCGTGGGTCACTGAAGGCACACACTCAATATTAAAAATAGAAAAAAATATGAAACCCATTTTTTGTGGCTTCTAAAAAGCTGCAAATACGTTGATTGAAAAAAAAGTTCCACAGACAACCGGAAGCATTCTGTGCGTGCGTCGTTTCGCGTATCGTGGGACTCGCGGGGACGGCGATGGCAGCGGACGACAGGCGAGGGACCTCTATTTCAGAACTGTCGTTCGCGGTACCGGCGAACTCTGTCTACCGTTAAAAGAGAAATTTGGGACTGATCAAAAGAATTGGTATTGATCCCGTACGACACGCCCGGCCACCAAGCCGATTTGCACGAAGACGTCGCCGAGCCGTCGCTCCCTTCTCGTGGCTGAAGACATCGCTCGCGCAAACGTCATGCACGACGTGTCTACTTCGAGTTGAATATGCACGCGTACGATTTCTTTACTAGGTGAGAATGTCGCCAATGCGTGGTGCATCCCGACTTCGACCCGGGAGTGCTTTTGCTAGAAGAAAATCGGCAGCAAACTTTCCAGCTTACAGTTTATTGGCTGAATTATCACCAAAGAAAGATGCCACAGTTTCGGTATGCCCCAGTAGCTCAGTGAGAAAGACGTCCGCTTCACACGCGGTAGGACCGGGTTCGATCCCTCATAACACTTTTTTTTTTTTTTTTCAAATATTTTTTTATGTCTACATTTCTTTTCTTTTTTTTTACAATTATCATTAAAGAAACAAATGGAAAAAAAAAAAATAAGAAACAAATGTTGTGGACGACACGTCGCTGAATTAAATGGTATGGGATTTCCGTTTTGACACCTGCGAACTCAATGTAATCACTTTCCACAAAATGCAAGGAGCATATAAATCAGCGTCCGTTTTCCGAGGTGCCCGTAAATGGTCCACAGGAATCGCAGCCAGCCATTGGTCCCGATCCCGTTGATCTTTCGGAAACTCTGTCGCACAATGCCACTTCTGTTTCGGACGCAGGACATGTGAGCCAGCTCTTCACGCAACATCTTGGGTGTATTCTTTTCGGAGCCGATCAAAATTCACCACGGGCACTCACTACTCATCTCCTACTCCTCAATGTACAAAACAACTCATCTTGGAGTACAGAACGACGAGCGGAACATACATAACTGCAAAAGAATCCCACGGCGAACAGTTCCCGTACGCCGCATGTCGTCTGCTACCGGAAAAGAGAAAAAAAAAAAAAAAAAACACGGTTGGGTGTAGCCACGTGACTTCCGCCACTCACTCTCTTCTCTCCACTTCTCCGACCTCCGTCGGGTTTCGGTTTCGGTTTCGAGCAGTTGCGTCTTTTGGCTTTATTAAAAAAATACGCTACTCTGTTGCAAAATATTAATTGGGTAGTCCCCCGACACCATAATGAAGCGCCTGGCAAAAAATTAAAAAAAAATTTTGGGGGGTGTCAGTGTCCCTTTAATCATCTATAGCAGGGGTGGCCAGGCTGACCCGGCCTAAGAGCCGCAAGCAATACCACGAAACTTCCAAGAGCCGCCGGGGGGGGGGGGGGGGGGTGCAGACTTTTGTTCGGGGCAATAAACGCAGCTCTAACAGGGTGTCTAGCAACTGGGAATTGTCAAGGAAAATTTCATTACCGGGAAAAATCGGGGAATTGTCAAGGATATTCTCAATAAGCGAGCCCTGTCAGGGAAAATGAGCCGGAAACGCCATCGAGTTCCCTGAGCAAAGACTTGACGACTTGGGGGCAGAAAAATAGGCAATAACTTCTGCTTAGAGCGGTGCGCAGGCTCTGCTCATCCGATGTAGAGTATGCTACCTGATGCAAAAAGAATCGACAAATCCAGTCGATGCCGTGGATTGGATTGAATTTGATTGAGGGCACGACACTAGGCTAGATTCAGTTAGAGCTACTAGATTTGGTAACAAATGGGAAAGTCACAGACCCCAATTTAATCCAAGCCTTAAGCCAAACGTGTGCATCTGGCGGCCATGCTACCATTTAATTATTGACGTGTGGTTGAGCATCATGTTTTCATAGTGTTTCCGGGAGTGGCCTCTTCGCTGACGATGTCGGCGGCAAGAAAGTGCTCATTTAATCCGGACTGGACGAACCTTAATAATTCAGAATATGCAAGTTGGATTAAGCCTGTGCAAAATGATCCTCACAGTGCTCAATGCTCAATGCCTTCTGTTGTGATGGTCTCATATACTACCGCCTCTACAGTGGTCAGGGAATTTCACCTGCAATTGTCAGGGAAAACCTGGAAAAGTCAGGGAATTTCAAAATAATAATTTGCTAGGCACCCTGTTTAACTATTTTCAATCTATCAGAGTCAAAAGCAGTCCCACTGTACATAAGGTAGAAGTAGCGCAAGACTTTCAAACCGCAACCTGTCTTTCAATTTAAAACGCGTTCCATTTTTTTTTGGGGGGGAAGTGCTCGTGTGACCGGGATGGAGGCGCGGGGCTAAGGGAGGGAGCCGTGAGCTGCACTCTAACGTGCGAAGAGCCGCATGCGGCTCGCAAGCCACAGCTTGGCCACCCCGATCTGTAGTCTTCGAGAGGGAGAATAGCGAATTCTGGGCAAGTCTGAGACACACAAAGGAGAGTCCCGGCAAGAAGAGAGTTCCTCCTTCCCCTCTTCTCTCATGGTTGCCGGAGAGCTGACAGGATGACGTCAGGTTCGATGCACGTATCGGGTATTTATTGAGAATAGAAAACTCCTAGCAGTGCCCCTGTAATGTCAAAACGGGCATCAGTATCAAGTCGGATATTTTACCGTATACGAAGTGGGAAGGAAACGGGTGTCCTTCAGGGTGTCCAAACACGGGTAAACCAAGAAGCATGGCCAACTGCTCAACAGCGGGTCGGAAAGCCCAATTGAATCGGTGCGACTGGTTTTGAAGCAAATTCGGTACCACTCTGCGGCAATTGGTATGTCAGTTTTTACGATTAAATACCGAAAAATTACGTTGCAACAGAGAATCGAGGATACTCGGGTGAGCCAGCTGTGGAGGTGTCGTCTGAAGAGGAAAACAGCTGCGAGACACACATTGCACCGTTTTAGTGCAAGAGTGCACACGTCATGGCACAAGACGCACCAGCCTTCGTCTTCACACGGCGTGCTCCCAGTGCGAGCGCATCAGCGTCGAATCTGCGTCCGCTGTACACAAGCGTCGGTGGC